TGGTGCTTTGAGACCGGGTCTCACTATGTAGTTCAGACTGACCTGGAACTCACTATGTAGCCCAGACTGGTCTCGAACTCACAGCAATCTTCCTGCCTCAGCCTCCCAAGTGCTGGGATTACAGGTATACGCCACCATGCCCAGCATCCTTTGGATAATATTAATACCAATTCCAAAAGAAGTTGAGAAAAGTTAAGGAACTTTCCAAGAAATACGTTTCCAAATCATTGGAAACCCTAGGAGAAGTTACACCAAGAGTTCATTTGACACTGGTCAGGAATTTATTGAATAATAAATAAAACTCAAGTGATTTCTTGGCTTCCTACCTCACATTGTGCACCTCTTTTTCATTTCTGTCTAATCAAATGCATGAGAAGTACAGTCTGGAGATGTAATTTGATTGCAGCCTCGTGTAGTATGATCTACTATAGCTCTTCTGCTACTGCTGTTAGCTGGCTGCAAGCAATTGCTGGTGAGGTTAAATGGTCCTTCAGAAAGCCTGAGAGATCAGAATCAGCTTTGAAGAGGTCTGCCAGTTGTCACGGTCACCCTATTGTGACATAATAACTTTATTTATGAACAAAAATAAAAGGAATCTTCAGTCACGTATCTTTGGTATGAGCCATTTCTTTTGCTGGAGTCTGGACATGCGGGAGGGACTTCAAAGAGTTGCCTGTTTTGTTGGGGGGGTTAGAAAAAAAATTGAATTGAGATCTACTGCCTCCATGACTATTTCTTTGTAGCAAAAGCTACAAATTCTCTCATGGAGATGTGGTGGGGACTAAACATCAAAGTTTGCTTTCAGAGCTGAAATCACATATCATTACTACGAAGCTCACCAGTCAATCAACAGATTAGTACACTGGGTGCATTCGCCTCATGGAATTTGATGATAAGAGTGCAACTCACTGGACTCAGAAACCATGACAGTCAAAGCTAGAAGGAAACTGTCCAGGCTGTCATGTTTCAGCTGCCTGAGAGGAAGCAGGCTTTGGCTAAAATGAGTTGTACACTCCTCACCAAAAAGAATCATGTTTGACTCTTTCTCATCTTTACAACACTGTCTTTCCCTTACTGTGACAATTTCACATTTGTGTTTATGTATGGTGACTTGTCTTCATCTTATTTTATATTTTAAGCTCCATGAAGACAGATGCTATTTATTTTGCTTGTGTTTGTATTTCCAGCATCTATCATGGTCCTAGTTTGTTGAATGAATGAATGAATGAATGAAAAATCATAGGGAATATGGAGATGGGGGTCTTCAATTTATAGAAAAGAAAGCAGGCTCAGAAAAGGAAAAAGTTGCCTAAGGCCATGCCTTTAAAAAGTGACAAAGATTTTTGGAAAACTATAGACTATAATTGTGTTCCAGAGAAAGTAGTCTCTGGCAAATCTAAGAAAGGTGTTATTTTGACCACATCCCTCACCTGCACAGCTCCCAAAGCTCCTAAGAGGACAACAGACTAGCAATGTCATGGGGGCTGCTACTTTGCTTTCTTAGAGCTCCTGGTTTGCTACAGGCCAAAATATTACAGGGCAAGCATAAGAGTCCAAAGCCTCAGTTTTGCATTTTGGCTTCTAGCTGTGAAACTTTGTGTTTCACTAACAGATATTTCTAAGGTGTTCTCCCCCCTCCAAAATTTTGTTTATCTACATTTCTACACCCAGGAGAGATTGGAATCTATTTTGTAATTATGCCTACAGTCTCTTCATTGCCTAACGTGTTTCTGTAGTCTCTGAGCATAAAAGGAAAAAAAACCAAAAAACTATTTGCAAACAGTGGCCCTTGTGTCTGATGTTGTTTCTGGTCTGGGTACACTTCAGAGCTCAGCAGAACTACCACATGGTGGCATAGAGGAAATTCCACATGGTGAGACTGGCCCCCATGCCTCTGGTGCTGTCTCAAAGGAAAAGGCATACAAGTCACACAGTGGCTTCTCTTTATAGGAAGGGGGAGAATTGAAGATCAGATTGCTGTAGGGTACAGGACTCAGGATGTAAGATTCAAGGAGGGAACTTACCAAAGGAGTAGGGATCACAGGAAAAAACTTGAATGGTTTGCAGTCTTCTCACTAGGCCTTTACCTGTAGCTATCCAAGGGGAAAAGGAGACACAAAGCTGAAGGACCTCTTTCCTGCCTTAAAATTAGGGCTGAGACCCTTAGCTCTGTCTTCTCCCACTCTGACCCTCCTCAAAGAAACCTCACCATGCCTGCTCACCCAGGCATCCCAGAGATTCCTTCTCTGAACAGAAGCCTTGGCCTCAGTCCCTCACAATAAATAAAAAGTTTCCAGTAAGGACTGAGACTGCCTCCCACAGTTTGCGTGGAACCTGTAGTGTGCTTGCCTCTGGACTCCGCTCCTCCACACCTCTACTCCAGAAGGTGACAGTGCTCTCTGTCCCCTCATGATGCCTTTGTCACCATGAAGTCGGTATGATTTCTAGCCGTGGGCTGGCTGCCGTGGGCTGGCTGCCTTGGTCTCCACATGACCAGGCAACAAGATGAGGGTCACATTTATTTATTTGAAAGCTGCCCCTTGACCTCTATCATGTTCTGTAATTCCTGACTACCTCTCCCCACACACAGACACTTACCTCTCCTATTCCTTGACTTCCCCTTCTTCTGGACAAATGAATGATTATAAAGATGATCCCCACACCAGTCATCGGTGTGCCAATGATCAGAATGGACATCCTGGAGGGAACTACAAATGATGTCCTGTTCCTTGAAAGGAACTGACTTGACTGCCTTTTGGTCCCCTATCCAGACCTCCTGCTCTGAGATCTGCACACCGCTACTCCCACCTGTTGCAGTAGACCCTGGCCACTGCATTCTCCTACAATGACTCTGTCCTCTGGACCACACTTGCTTGGGCTTGGTGAGCATCTGACCAAGCTGAGTAATGAGCCTTTTCCTCAGAGGGTGGGAATAGGAAAGTACAGCCTGACTGGGCAGTCCTTTGAATAGGGAACAAATAAACTCAGGAAATATGAATGGATTCCTTCTTTGGGGAGAGTGAGGGGAGAGGAGAGAGAGAGAGAGAGAGAGAGAGAGAGAGAGAGAGAGAGAGAGAGAGAGAGAGAAAA